TAAAGTAAAAGTGGATGCAGAAAACTGATATTTATCTTGTTCTGACAACTGGTCCATGGAAGTATAAATTGGATCAGGAACATCCAAATCTTTTGAAGAAAACATAGTAATTGGAAGTTTATCAGTCTCTGGCACTTTGAATGTGAAAGATGATGCAGAAGTAGTCTGATCAGGAGCAATTTTGAAACTGAAAGACGTGGATGTATTAGTTTTCATGGGTGAATCTTTATCTAATAATGTTTTGAAGCTGAAAGATGAGGCAGACATGGAACTTAGAGTGTTCATTTCTTGTAGTTCTCTAAACACCTGTTTTATTTTTTTCAGACAGTGCATTTTTCTGTGTGTATTTTATTTTATACTAATTTTCTTTTAATTATATAATAAGTTACACTGTATAAAAATAAGAGAGAGAGAGAGAAAGAAAAAATTTAAAGTTATGGAAACAACACAAAAATATTTTTTCAAAATAATGGACCCTGGCTTCCCAATTATTGAAGGGGTCCGGACCCCTATGGTTCCGACGCCAGTGGTAGTAAGATTCTCTATTTTTTCGTCCCAATATTTGGGTCTCTAGTCCTTTGAAAAACCTTTCTCAGTTTGCTTTTTATTTTGATAAGATATTTAATATGGTATGGGAGTTTATAGTAATCATTCCTAATTTCCATTTTATAGGCGTCTTGAATGTCCTTGGTTAAAATAGTGATCTAATTCTCAATATCCTCACCAGTACTAAGTTCATTTGAGTACAAACAATAATGATTCAACAGGAGCTCAAATACTCTTTAACAGATAAAGGATGGCGTCAAAATCCGCGCAAGAACGACCAACAGCAAATGAAAAGAAACTGACCGATCCCAGCAAACCACGACGTCACCAACACAAGTTGAATGCATGAAATATCCTCTTCGACGACTAACGAAAATCGAACCTTATACAAACCTTAGGTTACTGAGGTGAAATATATTATTGTAAATTAACCCTAAAGAATGTTTATATTCTCTTCATATTTTACTTCATATCATAAAGAAAATATGAAATAAGAGATAAAAGCAGTGGTGTCTGACTGAGAGGTGTGTAAAAATAAGTAATTATTGATTTAAAATAAAAAATATTTATTATTATCAAAATCTTGCTTTAAACAGAAAAAATTATTTGATTATATTAAATCCTAGTGCTACAGGACAATTAATTATGTATTTTGGTGTTGCACGTGAAACATCAAAATCAAAAGTGTATCTTGATAATTTTTTTGTAAATCAAAATGAGAAATGTTTCTACATATTTAAGCAAGACAACCTGTTTTGTTATAGTTAACTTTAATTATTATTTTTTTTCATTTTCTATTATTAGTGTGAATTCTTTTTTTTAAAAAAAAACCTGTACTTAGTTACAGATCCCTTTACCAAAGTTGAAAATTTCAAATGAGTTGCCCTTCATTTAACAGCCTATGACTTGTTGAAAACTGATGTTTATAAGTTAAAAATCATTATTTCTAAATCTTCAACTTTTTACCTTGGAAATGATATCTAGTTTACTTATTATTAAGTTTAAAATTTTTGTCATCTGGTTGCCCAACTTGAAACCTGTCCCTGTACAGCGCAGAACAAAAAAAACAAAGTTTTGTTTTCCTTCTTTCTAAGAAACAATTATGAAAAAAAAAAAAATTTCCTTCTAAGTTGATACATCATTTAACATGTTTTCCATACATTCCTTGGTTTTTGTCAGCTTTGTAGGGTAAAAAGGTGAAACAATTTCAGAAATATCAAAATAGAAGTTATCATGAAATCCAGAAAATCAGCATCAATGCAACAATTTTTCTATAAGCGATTGGTTGGCTTTGCTGAGAAAAATAATTCATTGGCCAAAAGCTTTCAGAAAAAGAGTGCAAGATAAAATCTCTAATTAAATTTACCTTTTGCAGAATTTAATAAAATTAAAAATACTAAAACATTTGTAAAAAGAAAGAAAGAAAAAATACCCCCAAAGCATCAGAACAAACTTTAACAATTAATAAATTCAGCCCACAGACTGAAAGGAAAAAAAAAAAAACGCTTTTATAAACAGAAGCAAATATTCCAATCCTTTCCTCCACATTTTTGCCTTTCTTAAACTACATAGTCCCATAATCTCCAAAGAGGTCAAAGATTTCTCCATTCATCAGGGTTCCCACTCAATTTCAGAAAAAAAATTCCCTGACTTTTCCAGGTAAATTTCAATGAAAATCCATACCAAATTTTATCTATACTACAAAATTTTTCATCAGAAAATGTGGATTCTTTTATGCCAAGTATTAGATTTTTTGTGTAAAATAAATATCATTATATAAATTATATAAGAAAGGAAGCATTTCAGTTTGACTAAAATGTAAAATTTTTACAATAAATAATTGTAATAGATGTTAGAATTATTTAACTCGAATCTCAATAACTGAGTATTGTTACTGACAATTTTAAGACTGGTTCTTTTCCAGGAATAGTGAAGGAATTTTCCAGGTTTTTGCAAGAAAATTGCAACTGTTCCCTGACCTGTGGGAACCCTGATTCATTTTCTAACATAAAAGAGTTTGAAATGACATACTAGTTTAGCAGAATAATAATGAAGAGAATTTTAAAGCAAAAAAAGTATTGCTGAATTGATGATATTTTAGCTTTTTTATGATAAATTTACATCTAAATAGAAGTGGATATAACAGATGGTAAAATATTTTAAATTAAGAAAAAAATTCCAGCTTTTCTTTGAAATTCCCTGATTTTTCCCAGTTTTTTCCAGTATAAAAAAATTCCCTGATAATTCCAGTTTTTCAAGGTGGGTGGCCACCCTGATAAAATAGAGGTTGAACAGAGGAACTATCTTGCATAAAAAGAGAAGAAATTCAGATAATTTTGAAGAAATGAAAGCCAATGCCATACTATTTTAAAATGTAATTATTGACTTGTAAAAAAAATATATTTAAATAATATAAATATGATTCACTACAAAATGAAGAAAATTGTATTCGCCGTTCATTGGCAAAGTGGCTGTTGTCTAAATTTTTTTGGAAAAGAAACTTTTTTGAGTTTTCATCTTGGACATCTTCAACTGTTATACTGAACTTCTCGGTTCTCGATTTTGCAGACATATTTAAATGCAGCTCAGACACATTCTGTGTAAATTCTTTTGATGACTGAATAGACATAGAACAGCCAATCGAGATCAATATTAACATTTTCAGATTGGTACAATATAATCTTTCTGAATACCCAGCCAGACAAAGATTTTTAAATGCATGTCAACACAAAATATTTTCAGAGTTAATAAATTTGTTTTGGCTCTCTTTCAAACAGTACAAAATTAAGATAATTGGGGAAATTTAAATTTGCCTGAATTTAAACTTCCAAACCTACAGGGAAAAAAAAATTTTAATTTGACAAAACTATTAATAATTAAGAACACATGAAATAGTAAAGGTTTATATAGATTTTGTTTTATTTACATGCTTTCATATTTAAAAGAACAGAATACAATTAATCAGAAACATATTTTTAACTTTTATCATTGGCAACTTTAATCATTTCTTTGAAATGAGAAATAATTTTAGACTCCCTCTTTTGTCTCTCTTTTCTATTGAACTTGGCAAGTGCACGTTTTTCATCAGCACTGTAAATTTGGTTTTCTTTTCTCAATCGCACAGCTTCCATACGTCGATGTCTAGGTAAAAATGAAACTTAATTTAAATATTGTAAAAATTTAAAATATTGTAGACAAAAATCCAGCACAAATAAATAGCTTAAAAAAACTAGTTCGCATCATAATTTGCGTTATGTTGCGGCCGTTATATTCCAAATTAACAATTGTATTTACTAAAGATAGCATGCATGCAAAAGTCATTTAAGGTAAACGATAAAAACTATTTTAGGTTATTTTACACTCTGGAAAATATTTAACTGTATATTTGCAGAAGAAAATATTTAAAAAGAGTATTTGTGTCATTTTTTTCAATATTATGTAAATAGAATGAATAACATCTCAGTACAAAAGAGAAGCATAATTAATTAAAGTTAACCTTAATAGTTATCTGAGATTTCACTCAGATTTGATTCTTCATAAAATTAATTTGAATTATATTATTGATAATTTGAAATAAGATAAAGATTTCTTCATGTAGTAGAATCTTGATCATTTTAGTCTTTTTCATTGTAACTTCTGTTAATGAATAATTTTTCCAAAGTTATTTTAAACATGAATATAATTTTTTCCTTAATCTCAATAAAAAGCATGTGAAAGGTAAACTATGAAAATTATATTAAGTTTTAATTGAGTCTTTTTCATCCTAACTTCCGTTAATCAATATTTATTCCAAAGTTATTTTAAACATGATTACAGTTCTTTTTAATTTCAATAAAAGGTTGTCTTATTTTAACTCTTTTCTTAATTTCAATAAAAGGCTGTCTTATTTTTCTCAACATCTTCCCTGAGGCGGTGCTCAGGAGAAAGAAGAAGAAAAGAAAAAAGAAAAAAAAACACTTTTTGCTTTGCATGGCTAAATAGAATTGATCATTTTCTACAAATAACAAGCATTTTGTTAGTTGAAGAAGTCACTTGCTTTGATTTCGCTAAAAAATCTAAAAATCATAATTTTGTTGCTCCAACTTTTTTTCATTATTATTAGTAGTAGTTTAGTTTGGCCATCAAGGCTTTTAATGCTGATAAAGAGAAGTGGATGATTTTTGCAAGAAAAATCTAATATAATGTAAAGGGAATAAAAAAAGATCTTACAAAGGATTTTATAAATCAATAAAATCCAGTAACGATTTGTAATTAAACGCTCTGTACCAAAAATAGAAAAAAGGAATACTACCATTCATTAAGAGTAATAAAGCAAGTGAATTTTAAAATTATTAGACTTATTTGACTAAAACATATTATTAAATGATCATATTAAATAAATAATAGAACTATTATTTAAAAAAAAAGCACTTAATTTTCTGAGTTTATTGATGAAAATGTATTAAACTAAGATCCTACAGTACACATAAAATAACAAAGCATAGGTGAGTTGGTTTAATTATCATTAACTGCTTTAATGTACATTATACAACCCAGTGGTGGTTCTGCAGGCAGAAAGTTAATATATTTATTCTCCCATATGGCTGCGCATATAAATAACCTCATTCCATTTTCAACCTACAAACGGTCCTGTACGTAGAAAAGGCACTGAAATTTTGTACACTCAAATACCCACCTATCTAGAATAAGACAGGAGAAAAATTAATCATCATACTAGAATTTTCTGATTGGAGGGCAAGGAGAATTAGCTTGGGCCAAAATTGTACAAAAAGAAGTGGGAACATTTCTTAACCAATAAAAATGTCAAAACCACCAATGACAAAAACCACCCTAGCTGAATAAAACACCATTTTCCTGATCTTACTGAATCCAATTTCGACTCATTTTACTTTTAAAAAAAGCAAATCTGAACTTCAATGCCGAACATTACACAGTTGATTTTACAGGTTTTCAATATGTAAAACGAAAAAACCAATTAGATAATTGAGCATATTTTAGAATAGATGAATGATAGATTAAATTTACAACTGGTTACTATTGAATAGTAGGCTTTCATAATGTGAGAATAAAATACCAATTTAACATAATTTTGCAGAACAAAATTTTTTTAATATTATTGATAGCTAGTCTTAAGTATTGATTTGCGTAGTAAATTTTTCTTAAACTTAAGAAAAAGTGAGATATTTGACTAAATGATAACAGCGTTATAATTTTACATATTACCATTAATTAATGCATGAATACACTTTTATAAGAAGCATCATTAATAATAATAATTTGCAGGGAAACTTACCTGCTTCCGCTCATAACATAACCAACAGCTTCAAATTTTTTTATCTGATCACCTGTCAAACCGATTTCTCCTCTTCGGGGAATTCTCTTTCCTTCAGCAATATAAGCAGCCATAGCTGCACCTTCACCAGGTAATAAAGCTTTGCCATAACTGTAAAAATACATAATGTGTTTCAGCGGCAAATTCAGATATTTATGGTGCAACACATATTAAATAGAGAAATATGTAAAAAAAAATTCATTTTGTGCTTTAATTAACATTTTAACTTTTTCCCCTTTTCTAACTTGTGAGAAATATATTTTTCCATGACCCATTCAATAGACCGATTATCATAACTAAGATTTCCCCTATTTCCTTAAACGATTTTGTGTCATTTGGATATTCATTCTCTCATTATGATAAGTAAATAAAAATTAATCTGCTCTTTGAAAAATCCTGTGCCTGTTTGTCCAGCTCGCATGAGTGCCACTATTAGTTAGATATATATTTGGTCAAAAATCTACTTATTTAAATCTTGTATTAAAGTTGAAATGTAAAATGTTTTTGTACTGCAGCATTTAATAACCCAGTCTCAGTTAGAGCTGATCTCAAAAATGAAGTAAAAGATGAGGACTGTGAAATATATTGCTGTTATACCAGAAGAATTGACAGTTTAGCTCAAACCACCAAATAGTCATTTTCAATTAGCTGTGAGGAATGCATGGAATTATATAATACAGTACATATTCTTGAATATGAATATATTTTGTGCCTGTAGTTTCTTTAAACAAGGGGGGAAAAGGAATAAACTGAAAAAAAATTAAAATTTTTATCATGCATAAATTTTGATTATAAAAATTTATATGATTACAGCCTTACCCTTTTTTAAAAAAATGTACTTCTTGTTGTACTTTGAAAAATGTACTATTATCTTTTTTAAAGAAAAATATGTTACAAATCATTAAAATACTTGTCTTCTTTTTTTAATCATATAAAATATAGGTAGATTGCTGAAATCACTAGCTATTAATGTACCTACTATTAATGTAATGCACTATGTAAGTATTTTCCTTCATTATATAAATGCAAAGAACTTATACAATAATAGTATTTTATGGGCTTAGAATCTACTTAGAATCCTAATGTTAATATTATCTTCAGTTAATATCATCTTCAATATAACAATTACAGGGATTAGAGCCATCAGAAAGTAAAAAAGAGGAAATCTAACAATGAATATATATCAGGGTTCCTACTCTTTGAACAAAGTAAAAATTAAGCACTTTTAAGAACATTTTTTTGAAAACATTCAGCACTTTTTTTAAAAAATTAAGGACTTAAAACAATTAATAAAAAAATAATAATAAGCAATTTTAATATAATGTAAGCACTGATATAATTAATTGTATTAATTAACAGGGCTCGCCAAAGAAGTACCAGGCAATTTTTGTAAATCCAGGTTGGTTTTTTATAAGACATTTTCAGACTGTTAAAAGTAAACGCTATTCGGATTGTAAAAATTAATGTATGAAACTAACCTGTATTTCATTTTTAATGATTTCATTGAAATTGAATTAGATTTGCAATTTTTTCATGCACATTAAAAAAAAAAGAGTAAATAACGAAATTTGGCAAAAACATTGAAAAATTTATTATAAGTTTTTATATCATCTCGCTACTAGACCAGAAAATATGTTATATTTACTTTAATGATGAACTTTAACATAATTATTTCCAGCCAAACCTGTTATTAGGAATTAACTTTACATATTAATGTTACTAAACATTTTGGCGAAAAACATTAACTAATTTGAAAACAACCAAAAATTGAACAAATTTTAAAAACAGTATATTAAGTTGCAATGTTAATTGAATAAAATTATTATTAAAATTTACGGATCTTTTAGCTGAGTTGATTTATATTTTATGTAACAATCTGCTTATCCTTAAGAAGTAAAAATCTAAAACTTTCAAAAAAATATTACATTGCAACGAAACAAATTATTAATAGTTACCAAATATTGAACTTTCTTGTTAGAAGCAAATCATGCTTTTTTATTTAGTACTTACAGAAAAATATTTTGAAGCATTTTTGAAGAAAAAAAAACTTTAGGTTTTCATCAAAAACCCAATAAACCTCAGGTTTTCGATGAAAAACCTATGTGGGCTGGGATTTTTCAAACCCTGCTTCGTACAGATATGCTTAATATTTAGCACAATCATGAATTTAAGCAGATGTGTTATGAGTAGAACTGAATTTCTTGAATTCTGTCAATTTTGAAGGTTAGTGTGAGTCTTATAGTTAGGTACCTTAAAACTGCCCCCCCCCCAAACAAATCACTATCTCTTCCATGTGCAGTATCCCCCATGTCCACAGTATTCTTTTCTTTTAGAATGCTTCATTCTCCTTATAGAGTATCATTCTAGGCAAAAGACAGAATATATTAATGAAAGAATCAATATATTAATGACTGGACATGCTTTCTTCCCCTTACCTGTAGCCCCCCCCCCCTACAGACACATTANAGCCCCACAACATTAATTCTTGTCTCTCTAAAATGCTTTATCCTCAAGGCATGGTCTAATTTTAAGTGATAAAAGCACAACATTTTGTTTTAAAAAGTTGACCTGAAAAATTGATCCAATCAACTATAGTGATGCTAAAAAATTAAGGATTTTTAAAAACCTTGTACCAAAATTAAGTACTTTTAAGGGCCCTTATTTTCCAAAATAAAAAAATAAGCAAAAATAAGCAGCAAACCGTGGGAACCCTGTACATATATATTAAAATTGTAAAAATATGAATTATGTGCACAATATTAAAATTGTGTGATTAAGCATTGCGATATTTGATCTTAAATGAAGAGAATATGAATCTGATGTGGTTTTTTAATCATGTAAATATGAAACTCTATATCTAATTTTAAAAATGCGAAAATACAAATCATGCTGCATATTTTTTAAATCCCGTGAATACAAATCTCAATGTCTAATTTTATAAATCACGTATAAATAAGAAAATCAAAGTTTAATATTACAAACCGCGGTTTCAAAAATGAGTAAATACAAACAGCGAGGTGGGATTTTTAAATCTTGTAAATAAGAATCGCAACACATAACTTTTAAATCAGGTAAATACGAAATCAACGTTTGATAATAAAATCGAGATTTTAAAAATGCGTAAATGCAATTGCATGTGTAAATCTTGTAAATAAGAATACCAATGTACGATAGTTAAACAGCGTGAATAAGAATCGCAATGCGAAACTGACAAATCAGATAAATACGAAAATTGATGCTTGATATTAAAATCGGGTGAATAAGAATCGAGACATTAGCATATTCTGGACTTGGGATTTCTAAAAGGCTTGTTTGTATTGTCTTTTTTTTGCAGCAATAATAAATAAAAATTTACAAGATTAATTGAATGAGCAAATAAATATTTTCTCCATAAATTCACCGCTTTTTTTATTATTATTATTTCGTTTGCTTTCGGGACAGCTAACGGGAAGCAGCAACTTCTGAAGTACAAAAATACGAGCTATCTGGCGGGCGGGTAAAAATACGGAAAATCTTATTTTTCGCTATTTACGGAGAAAATAGCTAAAATAAGTAAAAAATGAGGAAGGGTAAGCAGTTACAAAGTAGTTTGAATTTACTGCTCATCTTTGAAAATCGGAAATAGATAAAATTATTTTATCTGAACAACTGAATTTCCAGAAAAAACGGATTTAAAAAAAAAAAAAAAAACTAAGCTGTAAGAGAATTGGAGTTTTTGATAAAAAAGGCTGAAATTCGTGAGAAAAAAGCAGAAAAATCTTATCCCTGCAATTAATTAAATCAGCAAAGTTCTTAGAATTAGCTGGTACTTCATACATCGAGGCTAGATTAGATTTTATATGAAAATAAGTGGATAAATCAAATCAAATGATGAAATAACTTTTCTACCATTTTAAATGTTTGGGAAAAATCTCCTGTTAAAATCTAGAAGGTTGCAAGTATCAATATCAATTTTGATGCAAGTAATGATAAATTGAAAGCATGAAAATTTATATAATCTTTATAAGAAATTCTACACAACTAATCAATTTTTTCCCAGAAACTATTGGAACTTAAAATTACTATTAAAAAAAATTTTTCTTGTAACTATTTTATTTTATAACCGTCATTAAACAGACAACCAAATTTTTCAGGTTTACGACTACAAATGTTCAACTCCGTAGCCTTGTAATTTATTTTGAACCTAATCCAGAAGATAAAGGAACTCCTGGATAAAGTATTGGAAGAAATTTGCCATTGAGGAGGATTTATTGATGGAATGAACCTGCACTTGCATTACATGGAGAGGAAAATCTCTTAGGGCTATCCTGATGGCAAGGGGACTCTTACCCATGATCCGTCTACCAATAACGATATCTTATATCAGCACTGTTTTCGGTTAAAGCTGGATGCAGAATTCGTACCCCGTAAAGCAGAATTTTTTCAAGCTTTCGGCGACAATTCTCTAATACTAATACCTTTCTGAGGGACATTTTCAATTGTAGAAAATATATATGTTACTAGTTTAAAGTAACAGAAGCGCAAAGAAAGAAGTGTTTACAAAAAAAAGCTTTTATGTATAGAACAGTATATATGTTTTAATTATAAATGTAACATTTTTTTAAAATCTAAACATAAAAGGATACTTATTCTAATATTATAAGCAATATTCTCCTGCTCTAAAAATACTTGTATAGTTAACCTTTTCTAAATTTCTGCATTTTGGAAATTACTTTTTATAATGTCAAAGCGGAAAAAAGTTGTGCAGAAAAAAAAATTCAAAAAATTCTGCAGATAAAAAAACCCAAACTTCCTTCCCAAATAAAGACTTTCTGAAGGAACTATGTAATGTTCTACGACAATGTTGCCACGATTCTACCATGGGGTATCGACCAGATATGGCTTGGATTAGACCGCTTCACCTCATTGGAAGGTGAACACGCTATCCCCTGATGAATCATGGCTCTTATAATTATTTAGTAAAATTGGTTGAATACATCTGTACCTGACCATTTTTGCTAACTAAAGAAAAATTATATATGAATTCATTTTTGCAACTCATTCTTCTTCAGATTAATAAAAATTAAGATTTGAATTAAAACTCTTTAAATTTTTGTTAGTCAAATAAAAGTTAAAATATTTTATGCACAGAATTAGACAGAAATTTTTTTAACAGTCTCAAAAAGCAATTCGTAATGTCTTAAATATAGCATAGTACTTACTCTTCAGCAGATAGCCGAATCTCCTTTTCTTTTTTTCGTTGACACTTTTTTTTCTTATGCTTTTTCTTACCTAAACTATAAACATAAACTTTATTCAAAGTAATATTTATGAAATAAACAAAGATTGTGCAGTCACATATTTGTAAAATTCTCTTGTAATTGTACCTCCGATAAGCAAATAAGATTAACAGGAATAATTTTGCTGTCTTGAAAAAAAAATGACATTTTTTTGGAACAATATCCCATACCAGGCTACTTTAAGGAAAAATGACATACTGAAAAAATTTCAATTTTTTTTTAAAGTATAAAATCAAACTTAATAGTAAAAGAATAACAAATGTATTATTTTTTAGTTTCCAAGTTAGATTCTTTAAAACAGACAGCTATCGAGTAAATACAAACAGCGATTTTGGATTTTAAAATCATGTGAATATAAATCACGATATTGAAATCATATAAATGAAAAATCGATATTGGATTTCAAAAATGTAAATATACAAATCATGATGCGTAACTTTCAGATCGCATCAATACGAATAACGATGCACAATTTCTCATTGAAGTGAATATGAATCAAAAATCCTAATTTTTAAATCATGTGTAAATACGAAAATAGATGTTGGATACTACAACCGCAAAAACGAATCACGATATTGGACAAACTTGTGTGAATACGAATCATTACAAAGAATTTTAAAAACGCCTCAATACAAATCGTGATATTGGATTTTTAAATTTTGTAAAAGAGAATTGCAATGAACAATATTGAAATTGCGTGAATAAGAATCGCATCGCGCAACTTTTCAACCAGGTAAATGTGATATTCGATGTTTGATATTAAAATGCAGCGACCTCTAGATTACGAAAATACAAGCTATCTACGGATTGGTCAAAATAAGGAAAGTCTTATTTAATGCTCGTAAAAGCTAAAATAAGTAGATATGCCGAAGGTTTGGGAGCTATGTAGTTTGAATTTTTTATATATCTTCCGATATATTATATCTATATATCAAATCAGAAATAAATATAGTAATTAATTTATTTCAACGACTAAATTTTCAGAAAAAGCTGAATATTTATTTTTAAAAAAAACTTTTCAGGAATCGGGATTTTTTGATAATAGGACTGAATCCCGCTAAAAAATCTCATCACTGAACAGGGCTCAATAATCTTGAACTAAAAACTAAGTGAATATACTGCTTAATATTTTCGTACAAAAGTAATTTAGTAGGGGGTCTCTCCATTCACCATTTAAAAACTCCGTGAAATGGTTAGTGTAGAATTTTTTAGAATCAATCATTTTGAAAATCAGATGGAAAAGAAAAATCAATAACTGTGAAGCTACAAAACTCCACCTTACAAGATTTGTTACTGCATTTATGGAAAATAATAAATAAGACATATGGCCACTGAATTCATCACCATAAAAAATTTTTAAATATTATATTCTTAATTGAATTTCTTTTTCATGAAATGATTAAATTCTTAAATAGTTGGAAACAATGAATTCTGAGGATAAGTCAAGATGTCCTAGTCTATATGTTTCAGTTGTTTTTAAGTTTGAAATTAGCTATTATAATTTAAATAAAAAGATGTTATATAGAATCTTTTGATTTAGAAAATTATTATAAAATTGGCATTTGTATATAAAGAGTGAGATGTTGTAAACAAACATCAAAATTGGAAATATCAGGACAAAAAGCTAAAAATCAGAACATTATATATGAAATATCAGGAAGACTCTTACAATACTAAAAAGTTACATTACATTCTTTTTTTAAACTGTTCACTATATAACTTACTTTTATTTTTCTTCCTTTTTACTTCATCATCACTATCATATTCATCAGAACTAAAATGAAAATTAAATATGAAGTAAAAAAAATTTTATTTCTTAGCAAAACTGTATCTAAGATATTACTATTAAAAAAAATTAAAACCAATTCAGTTTAAATAGAAATTTTAGTTGACCTTTAGTGACCTCAACCCCCTGCTATCCTTAGCACAATGACCTGCACACAATGAGAGGAAGGGTTGGGAATGACAGCAGAACATATGGAAAATTAAACTAATTGTTCTTTTGATCACTAGTTGTAGACAGATGATTTTAATTTTTTCTTTGTTTTGTTTCTAAAATTTGATTTATTAGGAAACTGTTCTTTTAGCTGGGTTCCTTGTAGCTTCATAAAAAAGGTGAGATGATAAATTCTGATTGTTTGTCATTAAAAAGTCAAAATCTTTTCTAACCAAAATAGTTAAACGTAGAAAAAAAAATCGTTCTACTTCGTAAGAGAACTCGTTAAAAAAAGAAAGAAATTAAGATTGCACTTAATTCACAAAGGAAACATTTGAAATAAGACAAATCTTTTGTCTCCAAATCGTAAGCTTCAATTATTTGAAATCTATATATCAGTGATAAATAAGTTCATAGATAATGAAAAATAAGCATCGAAAAAGTTTATTTTTGATCTTTAAATGATGTAGAAAATGCTGAAGTAAATGCTACGAACTTTTTTTTTTTTTTTTACTGAAATTGATTAAAAGATGCAAAATATAAAATAAAAAGAATACTTACTTTCAAGAAAAAATAATTAATGAATTTCAATGGGGAATGAATTTAGTTTCTGAGACAGAAGCAAATGCTCCAATTGAAATATACTAATAGATCAAAGTCTTGTTCCATTTTATTTTTGGTATTTTCTATAAAGTCAGTAGTGGGATATGTTTTGAAGAATATCATTTTTTTTCTTTCTATTTTTAGATTTTTACCCTGCCAAATTTAATCTTCTTTTTTCTTTTGAATTTAATCTTTCTTTTCTGTTGCAATTTGAGAGCAATTTTTCAGTCAATCAGCAGTTGGGCGTCAATTTAAAACTCCTGTGATTTCCTTTTCTTAGACGCATTTATTTAATGCAGAAGCATAGTTTTTTTCTTCTTTTTTGTTATTTAATTTCTACATCTTATATGCTGAATGCATTGGTTTGCAAAAGGAGCAGAAATTCTTAATCAGCGTTGAAAAATAAATAAAAAGGAAATACAACTAAAAGCGTCTACTGAAATCGGATCGATGCATAGAACAAAAAGTTTTATTTTCTAGTTTTGTGACAGTTTGAAAATAAAATATTTATAAAGAAAATATAGATGAGAAGAAGAGAGTTAAAAATAAAGCAAGTTTAATTATTCTTAAGTTACAAATCGGAATTTGTAACACCATTTGTAGACGACGTCACGCGGTTTTTCGTCAATTGAAAACTTCTTTATTCAAACTATGCTTTAATGAGAGAAAAAATAAGAAAGAAAAACGTTTTCAAAGCAAACATTACGAAATAGGCTTGTAATTTCGGAAAATGTTCGGTAAATATCTGTTGCTGAATAAATCCACCGTGATCTTAAAATAATCTTGTATGGCTTGGGATAAATGAATTCATCATATAGACTGCATTGGCACACAGTCCGCACATCGTGACAGAAAAACTTTTAAATACATATCGGTTGCGGCTTATCTAACGGAAATTACCGTACATTAAAAAATATAGATATATTTTTACTCATTTATTTCAAAAATAATTTGTGGCCCAAAACTAACTTTCTAACATACAATATTGATATAAACTGTAGCATTATTCATTATAGAACCAATGTTTTAACTGCAGGGCGAGAATGTGACAATCTCACATATTTTTTCTTTTCTCGCACTAAAAAACGATCAACGCGATAAGTTTGCGAACTATGCGTGAATCTCGAATTTTGGATAAAATTTTTTATTCTGCCATTTTGAAAAAAAAAAACACATCAAAACAGCTACGACAAATGTTGAGAAAAAATTAGTTCTTCATAATAAGTTGTTTAAAGATAGCTCTATATTTAGCTGTTAATGAATTACCAAACTCCCTCACCGACAATTTACAGCAATTTGTTAAAGTTGAAGTCTGTGAAAACTATGCTAGAAGACCTAATAAAAAGTATGAACATGGAAATAACTTCAACGAACTTCTCTATTCCGTAACAGAGATAATTGAAAAGCCTATGCTGGCAGAAGTAGAGGAGAGGAAAGTGTGTGCACAATGCTGCAAATTAAATTAGTGATTCCGAATAGTTCAGCATCTGTTGCAAGGTCATTTAGCACCCAAATCTGTATTAAAACAAAATATTGTAACAGATTGACTGGTGAGCATTTGAGCAATCTAATGAGAATAGCTGATGGAAAAGCAGATATAGAACATTTTCCACATGATGATGCATCAAAAATATTCAATGGTTTAGTAATTAGAAGATGTTAAAAAAATGTATTATAATTAAAGAAATAATTTTTCCAAGTCTATTCGTGTTTTTTTAATTTTTAGAAATCTCACTTAACTTTTTGAAATCTCACCACTCTCCCATTTTTTTTCTGTAATAAAAACACTAGAACATAAAGCAACAATATAAAATATGTAAAGTATTTATCACAACATTTTTACATCAAATTCATGTAAAAATGATATGTTAAATGCTTCTGAACCACTATAAATATAAACTTACTCAGATATTCTTTCTGGAGAAGTACCCCAACTTAATTTTCCAATTTCTTCTCTTTCCATTCGTCTCCTGAGAAAAACAATAGCTTATTGTAATACTTCAATAAAAAATATGCAATAATAAATGTACGTATCTCAAATTCAAACATACTGAAATAATTTATTACACTGAATAAATTCAGAAATTAATATTTTCTTCAACATCTTCATCTTTATGCCTGTAACAATCTATTTTTACTAAATTTATAATTCCTAATATACTTTTAAAATTACTCGTAATTTGTGAATATAAAATAAACGTTAAGTCACGTTCTTTCAACCAGGGTCCTGCTTTTGTGAATTTGTGCAAATAGGGTCCTGTTATTACAAAAAACTTTTTCAAGGAGTTTTTAAATTGCAAAGACATACAAGATTATGCTCAACACTTTAAAATTATAATTTTCAAAAAATTTAATTTTCAAAAATAAACACCAATTGCTGCTACTAAATTAGAGATGCAAGATACAAATATTTGGTATTTAGCCTATACTGCTAAACGCAGAATATTCATTTCGGACGAATTAAGGAAGAAATGCCTGAGACGAAGACAAAACTTAGATCATTTACATTTGCCTTTCTTCCCCCCCTCCCCTCCTTGGAATGATTTATTCGATTAACAAAACTATAATAAACATAAACAAATTAGTGAAGGGTCAGATTAAAAGATAAATTATTTTGTGAAGGGTCCATTTTTATGAAAAGATATTTTGTGAAGGGTCCGTTAACTCAGTGTTCCCCAACTGTGGAACAAATGGCAAAGGGCCGCCCATTTCATTGAAACTGAATTTAAATTCCTAGGTTTATACCCCAAATTAAAAATATCTGTGTTCCATTAAAATTTCATTTATTTAAAAAAAAGGGCCCCCGAAGGGGCTTACGTTCTAGTACGTAAAAATTTTAAATCACTTTATATTTATTTTTTTGGTGTAACTGCATTTTACTTTGAAGGCATGTTTAAATACAATTATATTAAAATTAATAATTCAAAATGATCTAAAATATAAACATTAACCCCCCCTCCCCCCAGAGAGACGCTGTAAAATTATCAAACGTTGACAGGTCCGTGGTGATAAAAAGGTAGAGGAATACTGCGTTAATGGACCCAAATTTCTACTAAACAGACCCCTGATATGTAAATATTATATGGGTCATTCTCACAAAAACAGTCATTTTAATGTCCCTCCCCAGTATACTTTATGTACACTGGGGAGGGATACATAGTATACCCGGAGAAGACTTTAGTACACTTTATGCTGTTCTTATGACATTCGAAAATCTTTTTTTCAAGGAAAGTGTCTTTCAGAATGCAGATTAACAAAAAATAAAATATATTAATTTTTAGTTATTACAATATACCATTGTCATTCCCTCACTAGTCCACACTGTTGACTTAAAAAAGGGGAAAATTGTTTTTAAAAAAATAGTAAATAAGTTAACTAATTATTATTTTTAATTTTAGAATAGGTATTGAAATACATAATTCAAAAAATCAGTTTTAAATTTAATTTCTGATAAAAAATATTACCACAGCACTATTTTAAACTTAGTCTCCAGTGTGTTGTATCATTCCCTCACAACAATATATTTACAACCCACAATGACAACATAATGAAAATATTTTAATAAAAATTGTTTACAACTGACATCATAGAACAACACTTGCAGTATGTTTTCATACTTAACTTACTAAAGCTTTGATGTGTAACAAATTTGAATGTAAAAAAAATATAATGTAACTAAAAAAGTGGATAATTATAAGTTGCTATATTGATTTCAGAATACAATTTGGCCTAACTGTTATTTTGAGATTTTATTAAATTTTTCATTTCCTCACTAACTTATGTATAAAAATAAGGAAATAATGCTAAAGTGATTGAATCATTTTAGAGCATTGATAATTCAAAAAGATGTGTATATTGCTTAATTTTCATGGCTAGCTTGGATTATAAATAAAAAAATTTGAAATTTTCGTTTGTTCCAAGACATTTCGCAGAATAACGCGTACCCCAGCTAAACTGAACCCTTACCCCTGGGGGTACATGTACCACACTTTGGGAAACACTGCCCTAAACCAATAAGAGCTGCATTTTAAATGTGAGAATATTTCAGCAAATACTGAAGAATTATTTGATATAAAAATTATCATCTAAATAATTAATAAATGAAATCTTACCTATCCATGAAGTTATCCTGATGTGTGCGATTTTTTCTTTGTTGATCGAAATTTTTGTTAGTTCCCTCGTATCTACCTTGTTGTTTCGGTACATTATTATTAAATTTTCCGACATCAGACGGTGTCATGGTTTCCTTTAAATTAATTTGGTATTTTTATACCTTCCCTCATGGAAGTGGACAGGATTGTTGCTCAAATTTCTTTGTTTCTTTGTGCTTATCTTTGCCTCTTTGTGCTTATAGCTCGCTTATGACATGCTTGAATGATTTGATGCAAATGAAGTTCGGCTGTTGCTTGGCTGCCCGCCTTTTTAATACATAGGGGTATTTGATTAGTAGATTACATCATTGTTTTTATATTAATTGCTTAATCGTTTTGTCAGGTTTACTTGTTGTTGTAGTTCATTTACGTCACACTAGAGCTACACAATGGGATATTGGCGACGGTCTGGG